TATCGCCAGCACTACGCCTGCATCTCCCCTTATATTTTTTTCTGTCTTAGGTCCCCACTCGCCAGCCTTCTATCCTCTCCTCTTTCCCGAAACGGTGAAGCTTCATCTTCACCGATCCCAGTCCATTCCATTCTACTTTTTTCTTCTTTCATTCCCCACACACTGGTCATACTCATGCAGGAGACCCAACTTCACCCTGCACTTTTATGAATCCCTCCGCGCATGACAAGACCCTCGCAGACCATCATCCCAGACCCCAATTCGAACTATCCCCCCTCGACTCCCGCAGGCAGAACGACAACCCGCACAATTACCGCGACTCAAACTTCGACCCATACTTTCGAACCTCCCAGTCCCGCCCCACCAACCACCAGCCCACTTTGCAGAACAATCAAGCCCACATCCAAGCATCTACTACGCATCCTATGAAGAGCACAGTAATGCATCAACAGCAGCCCCACTCCGCCGCAATCGCATCAATGCAGTCCTATCCGCCTGGTTCCATGGGCTTCTCCAACATGCCGGACACGCAACAGTCAGCTACCTCGTCTTACCCACCGCAGCCCAATGGTCATCGTCACCTGCCCAATACTATGTCACTGCATCAGCCCCAGCACAACCAGCATCAACAACCCATTCCGCAGCACCCATCCCACTCGCAGCACCAGCCCCCACCACCGCCAAGGTCTGATGTTCAATCGAAGATGGCCCCGCCTCAGCACAACACCATGCGCAGATTCCTGTCGCAACAGAGACCGAATCAGCAGCTCAGTGGAAAGCCCTCTGACCAAGTCACAAACGTCCAACAAAGCAATATGTTGCCTCACATGCCGAAAGTGCAGCCATCACTGCACATGATGCCGCAACCTGGTCAACAAGTTCCGCCTCGCTTTCAGCAGCATAACTCGTCCCATATCCCGGGCCGTGTATCGAAGGGAGAATCGATTCCAGCCGTTCCTCTTCCGATGCATCCAGATCCGGTCCAATCGTTTCAGCCCAATCAAGAAGTCAATGAAGGCGAGCGTGGCTTCACCTTCAGTCGCCATGGCCTGTTTGATGAGTTCTCTCATGAGGAGCATCCCAATCCGGTTGGATTGCACCCTTCTCATGCGTCTCAAGACACTGATCAGGGGAATACACTCGCGGGAGTGGACAGTATCACTGGTCATTTGGGAATGCCTGGCGTCGCTTCAATCTCGAACCTACCTATTCAAGGCATGGCACCGGGCCAGGCTGCCCCTCTGCATGGAGTTCCAGGCTTTGGGGGTCCCACAACTATGGGTAATGCAGCTATCAGTGGGGGAGCATCTGAGATTGCTGAAACGCTTGTACTTGATCGAAAGGGGAACCCGCATCAGCGAAGAGTCCGTCCTGTGGCCCGGATGAGAAATCAACAGATGTCTGAATCTCAAAGAAAGCAGCGGCACAATGAACACACACGTGCGAGCCGTTCGCGAATTGATAAGGGACTTGAGCGCCTGAAAAAGACGCTTCGGAAGGTCAAGCCGCAGCTGAAAGTGACAAAGAAAGCTGACGTTTTGCAAGAAGCTGTGAAAATGATTAAAGAAGGGTACAGGCTGCCTCCCACTGAATCTGATGATGAACGCGATGAACCACCACAAGAGTCCTCGTTATCGGTATAGCACGGGCTTGGCATGTGCGTGTAAGGAATTCAAAAGGGAATTCAGCAGAGAAATTGTGATGAGAATGACGTGAGCGGCATTTTTCTTTTTTTGTTCTCTAAATTCTACATAGTGTAGTTATGTTATGTTTTCATGATAATGGTTTTTGCTGATGTAAATCACGAGTTTGATACGTTTGATGAAACTGGTTCATGCATTATTTCCTGCGATGTTACTGCGCTGTGCAAGCTATATAGTATAACCCATGCATGATGGTGTTCGGGTGACATATTTCGGAAGGAATTAATCGTGGCGTTTGAAAAGAAGGATGTCAGGAAGGTGGCGCTGCAGGAAGAGAGGACTTGCTTGTTAAATGGACTACGTGTTTCGGCCAATGTCGTTATTTCTACAGTGCGTCCTACGAGGCTCGTGAGAGTGATGAGACATGGTCATTCGAAACAGGTCTCCCGGGCAACGTCAAAGTCTTGATGGGAGGGCATGTAATGATTAAAGGGTGTATCAACCTGTCTTCAAACACGAGAAGGTCGTGAGTCTGTCGAGGGCTGAACCCCGCGAACAGAAAGAATTCTAAGATACAGTCGCTAGATGGTACGGGCGTCGGGAAGAATGCAAGTGATTGTATATGTCAATAATAATCCGATTCTCTCGACTCGCACGACCGATTCCAGAAAATGAACCTGGAGCGTACACGGACAATAGTCGATAAAAGTGACAAAAAGACAGACAGTCTGTCAGAAAATCGTCAGATTTGGGGTCTCCGGACTGGTACAACATGGTCACAACGGCCTCATGTAAACATACGGGAGATAGATCAAAAGGGCAAACTCATGTAGTCCTCTCTGGCGCGAGGCACAGGTTCCAATGCACCGCAGTCGAGACGGGTTGTACGATGTCTGTACTTTGGGCGCACGCGGTGGCACGTTCCACAGGGTGTGCCTGCACCTACTGTCCCAGGCATCCATTCTAACGAGACCACAAATTGAAATGAGGTATGGTGCGCATGAGTGAGACATGTCTAATTTTTGCGGACAACCTAACCAGCCTTCATTTCATCAAGAGGCGAAAGGAAGTCGATATGTTCAATTGCGGCGACCGCATACGTCTACCCGCATTAGCTGGCCCCAGACGTGAAACACTAGAGAACTGGGCACAGTAGCATCGGTGTGAATTGATTTACCGTAGGCGATTGATGTAATAGTATTACGATGGCAATTATGGTTAGCAATGACCAGACCGCGCAGTGTATGGGCTGAAGATCAAGGCCCAGTATCTGTATCACAACTTGATCCATGAGCTTCCATGTGCACTGATATATGAAGCGAGGCTTCATGTCACGAAGGCCATGGCAATTATGAGCTACCATACAGTACATGACCGATGCGTGGGAGTTGTTCAATGTGTGTTTGAGCGATGACAATTCATCCAGGGGCGGGTCTTGTAAGAAGCGGGAAGAGACTCATAGACGGCGTGGCATCAGTGATCACGGAGTGACTTTCTACGTAGTTCCCAGGGCAGTAGCATGATTTAATTCTCGCGAAAGCGTTACTTGAGACCCAATCATGTCTCGAATGACATGTTCGCGTCAAATCACATCACTCCACGCATGGACCATCATGTTAACGACAAACGGAGTCATCTCGTCCAGGCTTGTCTTCTAGGTCTTTTCGAAGTCCCCTGTTTCTTTCAAAACAAGCGAGAATGTTTCACAGCACGGTGTACACTACACGCAGGATGACCAAAAAGCGAGGACAAAACAGAGTCGTAGAAACGGCATGCGCGGCTCTCCATCCGTGATTCCTTCTCGGTGAACACAACACTGAGCGCAGATGTGCGAGTGACGCGTTCCATTCGCCATTGAAGTCCCTCGCCCAATTTGTTTTGTATCAAATCAGAACTGTTCATTCATCTTCTCTTCATCATCAACTGCTCCGTAACTCTTTGAAATTTTTGCACAAAGTGGGTACAGTCGAAAAGCATGCTCATGGCCATTGAATTGATATTATCTCATTGGAAAGCATGTCAGTGGTCAGCACGTTTTGAAGGCGCTCTCAGTCATTGACGTCGCAGCCGACTTTTGGGCCAACACTTGAATTCTACACAAGCGATTGGGAAAAAGAGTGTGGTCTGCATGTTCCCTGGCGTCCACAGCATTCTTGTTGAGGGAAAGACTTGGGAGGGAGCCACTAGGCACTTGTTCACCACGTTGTTACTCCTGTCAGTGACGTACAAGTACTGAAGGTTTGATACGCCGGACCTCTTGTGCAATATGCTTCTCTCTCGAGAACATCATGATGGACGTCGCCCCCTTCATACCTTCGAATACACTGTAATGCTCATGTCACATTATTCCCTTGAAAAAAAACGTGTCCAGCCCAGGATGAAACGTGTACACCGATCTCTTGCACGAAAATTGCATAAATACATCCCCCCAATCTCGAATAAAAGCATTTTCGACACTGTTTCCTTATGCCACCGGGGCATCAGCCCTCGAGGGCGCGCGCGGGAATCCAAATCCAAAGCCCCGTTTTGAAAAGCAAAAAAAGGTTTGGAGCTATGCGACAATATCCGGACGAAATTCGCATATGACCGCGAAAAACCAAAAGGTACAGAAACGTTCATCGACAAATCTTGGCGGCAAACAGAAAGAACGGAGAACGCATTGCCTACGGTAGTTACATATTTAAACAGAGAAACATTTTAATAGCAGTAGAGGTATGGTATCATCTTCAAAGATGCCTCGCGGTAAGCTGTTATCAGGCTTCGAGAAAGGTCAAATTGTGGCTATGAAAAGGGAATGCATGAGCATTCGGGAGATCGCTCGAACACTCGGCAGGTCTCCCGGTGAGGCATAAAACTTTTGCAAGCCCCCAAAGCGGGTTGACGCACAGAAAAGCACGCGCATCGCATCAAAAAGCAGCAAAAAGCAGACAAGACTGTTGCTTCTCGAGGCAAGCAAAGGTGAAAAATCATGCAAGGAACTGAAGCTGTGCCTTGATTTTGGGATTGGTGTTCGTCGCATTCAGCAGATCTTACGCATAGCACCTCACCTCAAATATAGAAATCTGCTGACTCGTCCACAGATGCTGGAAAGGCACAAGGTTGCCAGGTTGGAGTGGAGCAAGAAAATACTGCAGAAAGGGAGTTCGTATTGGCGCCAGGTTGTTTTCTCAGATGAGAAAAATTCAACCTAGATGACTCGGACGGCCTGGCTTCATATTGTCACGATTTACGGCGAGAGGAGAAGGTTTTCTCCATCAAGCACCAAGGAAGAGCATCATTGATGCTTGGGAGTGCGATCTCAGTTCACGGTACGTCTCATTTGGTTCGTGTTGAAAGTACAAAGGACTCTACGCAGTACTGCAGTGTCATGGAGGAGGACCCGCTGCCGTTTGGCGCTGATAATTTGGGAGAACAATGGACTTTTCAGCAAGACGGTGCCTCTTTCCATCGCTCTAACTACACAAAGCCTGGATTGATTCAAAGAACGTCAATTTTATTGGATTGGCCAGCCAAGGCCCCAGACCTGAACATCATTGAGAACGTTTGGGGTCTGCTAGCTCTGCGTTTGTATGCTCATGGGCGCCAATTTGACAATTTAGAGGACTCTGCTGATTGCATTATAGATTGTTGGTGTTCTATCACAGAACCATGCCTAGGAAAGCTTTACGATTCAATTCCACGTCGCCTTGTAGAGGTATTGGAGAAAAAGGGCGGTCCGACAAGATACTAGTTGGCCACAGTAAAACTGTCAAGGTACTGTACCTTTTGGTCTTTCGCGGTCATATACGAATTTCGTCTGGATATTGCCGCACAACGGCAATTGATTTTATGCTTTTCACAAACCGGCTTCCGATTCGGGTTCCCGCGCGCGCCCTCGAAGGGTCATGCCCTAGTGGTGCCACGAAACAGTGTCGAAAATGCTTTTATCTGAGATTCGGGGGTGTATTTATGCAATTTTCGTGCACCGTACCTGGCACTTTTGCAGTCTTGTAAATTTGAATAACATAGGCTTTTGCATGTCGGTCAGCATTGATTTGTCGAAGTAGCAAGACCTAATTAGTGCTTGTCATTTCTATGTTGGCGATAGCACTGAGATACAGCATTATTGAAGTGTAACAGTCTAGGGCAGACGCGAAGGATGCATCTTATGATACGGTGTACTGTGGAGACCGGATCAAATTGTTGGTGCTTTTCTGGATCCAATAAGGCACATTTGCTCGCAATCAGACAATCAAGCTGGCGATCTGCCGATGTGCTGAAGTGTATCTTAGGTAGACTAGACACACAGGACTAGAGATTGACATCTGGATTCATTGCCTTTACCTCTGCTAGTGTCTAGGGTCTACACTACTTGGTGTGTAAGTAGCGACTAGTCTGCGAACTGAAAATACAAGAACACCTCAACCTCAAAAAGATTCTTCTTCGCCTACGACTTTTGTCATGATTGGCTTCTTTACTTATACAGAATCACTATGTCGTTTTGTATACAATCCCGCATTTTTAGAGCGAAGGACAAGTGTAGTACAGGCAAGGTCAAATGGCATCATGCCTGACAGTTGAAATACATTTCGGCGACAGCTTCGCGGGAGTTGCATCGCATCTAGCCGCCGCAAAGATATATCAGCCTCCCGCTATTCTTAACCAAAACAATAATTTAAATTAGAAAAGTACTTCTTATTGAATTATTTTCCTGTAACGTTGTGGAAACGCGCATTGCGCATGCAGTAACGTGCTGCCAGGAGAGCGTTTGCCCAATCAAGCTACGATCAAAATGACATGTCGTTTGGGTTCGGTCGCCCATAAGTAGCCGTTTTGACACAATTCCTAACCACGGCACACGATAGAAAGCTGTATTCTTACTTAATTCTGCGGTAGTATCACGGGTATCCGCAGTGCACGATGACTAGCAGTCAACCTCCGTTGTCCGCGTGAGGTCACCAACCTCCTCGACCTCTCACCCCGCAACGCCAACCAGGATGCATTCGAAACACGAGCTTGTTGAGCATCCTGACGAACAAGCACGAGCTCATTCGCCTCGATCTCACGTTCTAACCGACGCTGTGCCGCAGAAGCTTCACGAGCCTCCTTCTCGGCAGCTGATGCGGCCCTAGCTACTGCCCTCGCTTCCAAATGATCCAACACGTGCTGACTAGTTCGTGAAGCACCAGCCTTGGTGTTTA